ACACACAGACACACACAGACACACACCCCGGAGTCTCGATCACAGGGACACACAGACACACACACACACCCCAGAGTCTCAATCACAGCGACACACACACACACACACACACCCCGGAGTCTAGATCACTGGGACACACACACACACGCGCACAGCCACAGATGCACTCCGAGAGCCGAGTCGCCCCTGAGGAGCTCGCTGGAGGGAGGAGCAGGCCCTGAGCTCCGACTTCAGACCCTGCATCCCCAGCCCGGCCCAGCCCTGGTGCTCTGCCATCCGAGGAGCTCGAGGACCAAGCTGAGCTGAGGCCTCGGACAGGCAACCAAGGTCTTTCCAGCTCATTGGCCACCAGATCTCGGCCCAGTCCCCGGGGCCTTTGCAGAGAGAGAAGGCCCACTGCACCGAGGAACAAGGAGGAAGAAAGGAGGTTTGGAGGCGGCGGGGAGGGGGGGGGCTAGGAAGCGTCTCTTCTCCATCAGCACCAAGCTGCATGGAGGGGACAGGGCAGCCACCAGGACACAGAGCCCCACATGTGCACCCGAGGCTGGTCTCTAGGCCAGGGGTCCCTGTGCACCCAGGGCTGGCTTCAAAGGACAGCAGAAGGCTGAGGCAGGAGGGTCACACGTTTGAGTTCAACCTGGGCAACTTGGTGACTCCGCAAGAATCTATATCAAAATAAACATTTAAAAAGGACAGGAAAAGTAGTTCACTATAAGAGCCCTCGGTCCATCCCCACAACAATAAAAAAAAGTCAAAACAGCCTCACTGGGCTCCAGGTGGAACACACACTGCCCACACCCACATCCCGGCTGGGCTACGCCAGGTGAGCAGCTGGGGAGGAACAACTTGAAGGTGCTCTGTTTTATTCTTTTAATGAGACAAAGCTTGCTCAGGACATTCAATGTCTAATTTTAATATTTTTGTTTTGAGACAGGGTCTTGCTATGTTGCCTATGCTGGTCTCAAACTACTAGGCTCAAGCAATCTCCTGCCTCAGCCTCCCGAGTAATTAGGTGTCCACCACTGCAATCGGTTCATAAAAACAAAACGAGCTGGGGATTTCGCTCAGTGGCA